CCACACATTCCACAACTGGCTCTTCTCTCCATTCCAAGTCTCATCTGGGCCTCTGGGGCCTCTGATCCCACCCTGGGGAGAAAGCACGTGGCCAGCTCCTCCTTCCTAAATCCAGAGTCTGCCCTCTGTTTTTGCTCACTTTACTCTTCCACTGCCTTCCCCTCTCAGGAGAATAAAATGTCATGCAAGACTTTCGTGCAGCGTCTTTTCCTTTGGTGGGTTTAAGGAGAGGGGCTCAGAGGTATGCTTGGATGGCTCACCCATTCATTCAGTAAATGTTTGTTCTATGTCCCCCACACTGCTCTAGATGCCAGGGACCTAAGGGTGGACAATACAACCCTAGCAGTTCTCACACATGTAGTCATGAAATACTGATTGAGCATGCACAAGAGCTACCCATTAATATAAAGGCTGAGGTACACAGCAAGTACACCCTCAGAAGCTCTCAGAATGGCTGGGGAGACCAGCAGGGTCATAGTCAGAGTTCTTTTGGTCATAAGGGACAGAAACCTATCCTTTTGCTTCTCTTAGCAGCCAGCCTTCTTTTGCTGTTTTAAGTGAGTATATTATTAGGATTCTTTTGGTGTCAAGTAACTTCTGTGATAGCTCATTCTAGCTTAAATAAAAAGATAATTTATTGGCTCAAATGATTAACCAATTCACAGATAGCTTCAGACACAGAATGACCCAGAAATTTATGATATCACCAGAGCTCTAGTCCTGTTCCTCTGCTATTCTCTCATTTCTTCCCACCTTTGCATACTGAAATTGACCTCAGGCTAGCTTCCCTCTAGGCAGCAGAAATGGCTACATCAGGTCAAAAATTTATATCTATGCAGTATGTCATCAGGAGGGAGAGAGAGGTCTTTGGTAGCTTCTCTTCCAGTAGCTGGAAGAGAAAAGAAGCTTCTTTTTCAGGAACCACACCAGATTTCTTCTCAGTTCTCACCAGCCTGAATGGCTCAGGCGTCCACTTGAACCAATCACTAGGTGCAGGAGGAGCATGGGACACATTGATTAGCATAAAACAAGTCAGGACACACTCCTGGGGCTGAGGTGGGGGTCCATGTCACTCTAATCACTTGGTTGAGAATGGACATGAAAATCTGGGAAGAGATTTTTGCTGGAAGAGAGGAAAATTAGATGCTGGACACTGCAAGAAGCAATCGTGTATCACTCAGGGTAGATCAAAAAAACAGTGCAAAGGGACTCCCAATGGTAAAATCTGGGACAATTTTAGTATCAAAGTAGTTGATGACAATAACAGATTATAACCCACTGAATAAATTAGAATCCATTAATTTATATAGATATAAAGAAATAAGAGAAAAGGGCAAGTGTTATCTTACTAGTAAATGTAGACATGGTATATCCCTCCAAATCCTTAGTAATTTGACATTAAATAATAAATTCGGACGAGGTTCCATAACGTAGTGGTTAGCATGTCTGCTTTACACACAGAAGGTCCTGGGTTCACGCCCCAGTGGAGCCACAGTTCATGGTCTACGGCCATGCCACCCCGAACAAGCCCCATGTCTGATCTCGGAAGCTAAGCAGGGTCGGGCCTGGTTAGTACTTAGATGGGAGACCCCCTAGGAAGACCAGGTGCTGTAGGCATAAATAATAATAATAAATAATAATAAAAAATAATAAATTCCCTTATTAGCTAAACTGACAGTGGAGAAAACAGGCAGAAGGTAGTGAAAGTTAACGTCACCACTAATGGGACAAATCAGCATCAGGGGCCTTGTGATATGATGCACTGAAAGGAACATAACGACACTTTATTGCTGTTCCTGCTAAAAACGCATAAATCACAAGAAAACGTCAAATCCAGACCGACATTCTACATGGTAGCTGGGTTGTACTTCTCAAAAATGCCAAGATCATGAAGGATAAGGAAAGATGGAAGAATTGTTCCAGATCAAAGGAGATGAAAGAGATACATTGATCTAATTGCAACACAGGATCTAGCTCGGATTTGTATCAAGAGCGGTAGAGTCAGTTCCGACTCCTGGCAACCCTGTGAATGAGTGACTTTCACAGTGTCCTGTCTTCAATAGCCCCACTCAGCTCCTCTAGACTTGTGCCTATGGCTCAGCTCTTCTCTAGTAACTGAGGGCTTTCTGGTCTGGGAGGCTCATGTTTCAGCACCATCTCACATTTCATTTTGGACTGTCTCATCATAGTTTTCCAAGGAAAAATGTAAAGGAAAAAAAAAAAAAAGAGAACGAAAATCCAAACCACATGTGTGTGGGTCCATGGTGTCACAATTACCAAACGCATACATAATGTAGGCACCCATGTGGGTTTGGATCCAGATCTATAAAGGACTACTATGACATGTGACTGGAATCTGTGATGATAATATTGTGTCAATGTTAAGGAAATGCACACCAAAGTATTAAGGGGGTAATGGGCATCATGTCTGCAATTTACTGACAAATGATTTGGAAGAAATGGTAATGTGTACGTATGGAAAGACTCTGATAGGGCATATACCACATACATGTGGTAAAATATTAATAGTGGGGGAAACTGGTTAAAGTAAACAGGAGCTCTTTGTACTAGTCTTGCAACTTTTCTCTAAATTTGACATTATTTTAAAATAAAAGTAAATGACTTATAGTAATTTGACCTCAGCGAATGGATAGATGGTGGTGACATTTACTGAGGTGGGGAAGATATGTGGATGTGTGGATTTGGAGGGAATGATGAAGAGCTCTGCGTTAGCCATGTGAGAGTTATCTGTCAGATAACCAGAAAGAGATGTCAAACACGCTGGGTTGAGGGGAGGGCAACTGGGCCAAGGTCCACATTTAAAGTTCTGGAATTGGATGAATTGGTCTGGGAGTGAGTGCAGAAGGATAAAGCCATTGTCTGAAGACAGACCAGCTAGTCAACATGTGGAGGCCTGGGTGGTGGTGGAGGAGAAGCCAGCGAAGAAGCTGGAAAGTAAGAGCCAGCGAGACAGGAGGAAAATCTAGCGTTGGGCCAAGAAGCCAGGAGAACAAAATGTTTCCGGAATGAAGGTGTGGCTGACCATGTCCAGTGTTGCTGGGAGGTCAAGAAAACAGAAGACAGAGGACTGGCCAATAGTTTGGATATCTTTGGGTCTTGGTGACTTTGATAAGAGCCATTTCCATGACTAAGAGGGGACAACACTGCACTGGAGTGGGAGGTGGGGATGCGATGTCGGCATGATTCCACAGCTTTATTAAGGATTTACTGTAAAGGGTTGGAGAGAAATGGGGCATACCTAGAGGCCAGGTGGAGACTGAGGTAGAGTCTGTGTCTCAGGTGTTTGCATTCTGATGGAAATGGCTGATGGTGTAAGACAGAGCCAGGAGAACAGCACAGAAAAGGCCTTGAGAAGGGACAGGGTGGGACCAGGGCACAAAAGAGGGTCAGCATGGACTTCTAAAGGTGGGAGTATTAGGGGTTGGACTCACTCTTAGGGATAAAGGCAGGTAAAGGACAGAGGGCCGAGCCAGCTTTTGGTAATCTCTCAGAAGGGAGTGTGAGTGCATTGGCTTCGTGATACAGACTGCTTTGAGGAACCTGCTCATCCCTAGTCCTGTCTCAGTTCTCTAACATTACCTTTCTTACCCTCTGGGGTAGCCCTTGGATGTCAAACTGTATCATGTGACCCCCTCACTCCTCTCCATCCAGGCCACTTCATAGACTCTTAACCCAAGCTAGAGCAAATGACTCTCTCTAGGAATTTGGAATTACCCCCATCTTAGTCCAAGCCACCTCAGCCAGCCCAGGCCAGGTCCCTGAAACTGCCTCCCAAGTGGTGTTCAGACTTCCATCCGCCCCTGACCCCCACACTCCTTTCTCCACAGAGCAGTCAAAGGCTCTCTAAAAATACAAACGACATCTTACTTTCTTGGGAGAATGCACCAGTGTCATTTCACAGAACCTTTCACTGGATAAAGTCTTGACTCTGTTAGATCCTGGTGTCAGAATAGTAAACAAATGAAATAAGAAACCTGCCTCAAGCAACTTACAATCTAAAAAATTATAATAATGCCACCTTAAATTTACCCAGCTCATGAGATCTTTGTTATTAGAAGAAGTAAAAGTTATTAATTTTATTAAATTGAATCCCCTGATGTCTTTTTAGTATTCTGTGATGAAATATAAAGTATGCATAAAACACTTCTGCTGCATTTGGACGTGTGATAGTTATTTCAAGGAATAGCACTTGTGTGATCGAGTTGAAAGTTGAACTGCCTCATTTTATCAGAGAACATCATTTTTTAAATTGTGGTAAAAAACATAACAAAATTTATCATTGTGAACATTAAAAAATATATAGTTCAGCAGTGTCTAGTATTGTTTTGAAACAGATATCCAGAACTTTTTAGTCTTGCAAAACTGAAATTCCCTACTCATTAAACGATTCTCCTTTCCCCTCCTCCCTCCCCCTGTCAACCACCATTCTTCTTTTTGTCTCTATGAATTTGATCATCCAGACATATTATATAAGTGGAATCATACAGTATTTGTCTTTTTGTGACTGGATTATTTCACTTAGCATAATGTCTTCAAAGTTCATCCATGTTACGGCATGGGACAGGATTTCTTTCCTTTTTAAGGCTGAATAATATATCATTTTATATATTACATATATGGCATTTTGTTTATACATTCATCTGTCCATGGACATTTGGGTTGCTTCCTTCTGGCTATTGTGAATAGTGCAAATACCTCTTCAAGATTCTGCTTTCAATTTTTTTGGATATATACCCAGATGTGGAATTGGTGGGTCATATGGTAATTCTCTTTTTAATTTTTGAGGAACCTCCATACTGTTTTCCATAGTGGTTGCACCATTTTACAACAGCACACAATTTCTCCACATCTTCATCAACACTTGTTTGATATCTCTTGGTTTTGACTTGCATTTTCCTAACAATTAGTAATGTTGAGCATCTTTTCTTATGCTTGTTAACCAATTGT